GTTGGGTTTTACTTGGAAGGTCTGAGATGGGAAAAAGTGTTTCCCATGTAGAAGGAAAATAATTTCTGTTAAAGATGCCAAAGAAAAGAAAGCTAATGAGGATAAGTATGCCTGTTTTTCATGGTGCAGAACAATGAGGAGGAATATTTTTGCAGTTTGTGATTTTGAAGGGTAGTTACAACTTTTTATTATTTAGCTCTTGCTAACACTGTCTCTATCTTTAATTTCCAGAATGCAAAAATTCACCACTCTAACTTTAGTAGTGCTGGCATAGATTGGCAACAATTTCAGACTTGAACAGGTTTCTAATGCAGAGTAACATGTTTCTCTATTGATGTGTTAAGCTCTTAATTAGGCGGTGACTATGACAACCTCGTGTGATGTGGCAGCATCCCCAAATTGTTCCTGAAAAGTTGTGTGTATATCAAAAAAAAAAAAAACTTCCTCCTCTTCCTCCTCCTCCTTTCTCTTCTCCTCTTCTCTTCATATGGCTTCAGATATACTCTTTAACTGTGCTTAACCTTTTGATTTACTAAGGTAATCCGGAAATGTTTTTTCTTATTATTCTTTATATCTAGTTCCTGGACTTTCCGATCCCTTACAGTAAGCTTGTTTGCAATGTGATGGGTGCTAATTTGTTTTTTCACCTCTTTGGGAGGTTTGCAGTGCTCTCTGTACCAGCAGCAAGTCAACCACTTCAGCACTGCCTGGTGAACAGCACAGTGGAGCGGCACTGGCTGTCCCCAGGAGCCTTTCACTTGCCTCTGAAGGCAGTGTCCCTGCAGCCAAAGGGAAATTATCGTCAATGAGAGTCAAAAGGTATTCAGCCTTTTGGTGATAAATTGTCCTGTTGCCTCAAGGCACCACTTCTTCCAAAGACAAAGGCACTGATAAAATATTTATGCTGAAAGGTAGCAGGCAAAGGGATTGTGCATTGTGAGGTTTAAATCTGTGTTGCCAAGATAATTTTTTCTTAACTTTAGTGATCTGAAGGTAAAAAATAAGGATCTTAAGGAACATATTTTGAGAGTTAAGCCCGAATGCAGAAGTCACTGATGCCATCATTTCACTTAAAATAGCAAACATAGAGGTTGCATTGTCAAGAGTTTTTATAATTGAATGATGTAGCCTGGGCCATAATACAGCCTTTTCTAGTGAAAAGGTTAGAAGCAGTGAAGTGGTGACAGGAGAATCATGTTTTAAGTACTGATCGTTACCCCGTTTCTTAACGACACTTGTTTGTTTTGTTGTGTTTTTTTTCCCTCATTTGCCCACGTGTAATTTCTGCTTTCACAGGGATGGTGAGAACACTGGTATGGAAAAACAGCTGCTCTTTGATGCTTGTTGTAGAGATTGCAGTCTCAGTAGCTGCTCTGTAGTAACACCACTGCAGCTGGTACATCCTAATGGGTGGTACAAACAGTGGCTGTCCAAAAAAAAAAAAAAAAGAAGACCTCTTGTAAACAAGATAATAGTATATCTGTATAGGAGCTTCAATTCTCATTTTTAGTAATTGCATACTGATGCTTTGAACTATATTTATTTAACTGAACGCAAGTTTACAGGATGACAACGCAGCTATGTAAGTCTAGAGTTACAACAATGGATACTTCCAGGCTTCAAAGCTCCCAGCACAGACATGTCCAGAAGTCCATTCTGCACTCTGAATTCTTTGTGGTTTTCAATTACTACATGCAGAGGTCATGATTTCCAGCCCTATTGTTCTGTTCTTTTCCTACCTCTGAATTATTATGGTAGAGAGTAAGATAAGAGCCAGTATGTTAAAGTGTATATGCGTTATTGGAGGGATAGGATGGCAGCAAAGGCTACAAATCCTTTTAGTAAAACAGAACACTCTCTTGGTGACTGCTTTGCTTGGTTTTATTAGTTCATCTGTCTGCAAATGAGTCCTGCAGGTGCTTTCTCAAATGGATTGAGAGATTGCCTGGTATGTTCCTCTGCTTCTTATAAGTACCTCTGCGTCCTGTGTAGAATATTTGTAACTTCCTACACTGAGATATCTTTGTAAAGCACACCAAGGACCCTTGAGCCTTACAAAGCCACAGTATGGGTTGAAAGAGGAACTTAATGAAAACTGGGAAAAAAATAATAATAATAATAAAAGGATAATGATAGAAAAGGTGTTAATACAAATTGAACAGCTAGATTTTCTAAACTTGTATTGTGAAAAGATGCATCTTCTTCTGTCACATGTTCTTCGCGTTCATGGCAGTCAGTACGTGCTGCTTGCACCTAGAGGTATGAATCCAGTTCTCTCTTCTTCCTGCTACCAAGGAAAAGAGTAAACAAGGGGGGAGTGTAGCATTAAGTCAAGCATCGTTTCCAAGACTCAGTTGCGAGAGCTAGAAATTCCAGGATCTCCAGTTTCAATCTGCTCCCCGCTTAGAAAGTGGTTTTTAGTTTTCTGCAAGATCCTGCAAGTTGAAATTCAGGGCACCTCTTACTGATGAAGGACATTGCAGGGATGCATGGGAACTAAAATAACTTCTTACATTTTTCTTCATCCTTCCAGAGCACAATTAAATGCAAAATACCTGGGAAAACTTGCTGTGATCTAATAATGCCTCTTTAGCTTAACCTGCATCTTCTCTCCAGCCAAGACTCCAACTCTGATTATTTGGTTACTCTACCTATTTTTTGTGTGATTTATTCTTTCAATATTTCTAGCTAGCTTGAACTATGAAGCAAGGAAACAGGAAAAACAGTGCTAGGATTTAGATAAGATATGACTTGTCTTACAAAGTGTAACTGGCAGGTGTGATCATATCACTGGATAGGGATGCATTTGGAGAGGGTAGAGAGAACAGAATTTTATTTTCAGCCAAGTATTTTTCTACTTGATTTGATTGAATATTCTAGAGAAAGCAAGCAAGGAGTGGCTTGAAAAAGCATTTCTGTGTAGGTGCCACATTTTTCCATGTGTTTTTACATGTAGATTTACATAGACTACCATTATATAATATTATATATATGGTGTATGGGGAGAGAAAGGGATGTGAATAACAAACTTGCCTGAAAACACTTATATTGTTATTCCGTAATTGGAGTTGCTTTTGTTATGTGGAAACAGACATGAACTGGAAAATGAAAGATATCTGAAGGTCATCTCTTCCATTCAGGCTTGGCTGGAGCAGAAATAACAGCCTTGTTTACATTTAGTACAAGTATGCGGTGATTAGTATGGTGTCCATTATATATTATTCCACCAAGGCCAACAGTGTGCTTTTGCTTCAAAGGCCGATGGTATCCTGAGCTGCATTAGGAGGAAGGTGACCCTCCCCCTCTCCTCATTGTTCCTCACACCTGCAGTTCTGTGTCTGGTTCTGGACCCCCAGCACAAGGGACGCATGGACATATTGGACAGAGACCAATGTAGGGCACAGAGATAATGAAGGGGCTGGGGCAGCTCTCCTGTGAAGAAAGCTGAGAGAGCTGGGACTGCTCAGCCTGGAGAAAAGGGGACTTTTTTTTTTTTGGGGGGGGGGGGGGGCTGCATCAATATGTCTAAATACTCAAAGGAAGGGTACAGAAAAGATGGAGCAGTGCTCTTTGCAGTGGTGCCCAGTGACAAGGAGAAGAGGCAATGGCACAAATAGAGAAGGCTCCCTCAGAACAGGAGGAAGCACTTCTGTGCTGTGTGGTTGACCAAGCATTGGCACAGGTTGCCCACAGAGGTTGTGGGGTCTCCCCCCTTGGAGATCTTCGGCAGCCACCTGGACGCAGCCCTGGGCAGCCTGCTCTGGGTGTCCCTGCTTTTAAGCAAGGGGTTGGACCAGGTGGCTTCCAGAGGTCATTGCCAACATGAACCAGGCTGTGGTTAAGGAATTACAGGGGGTGTTTGTACAAAATACTGTATAATCAAAAGATCTTCCTGTAAGTCTGTATGTTCCTCTAAATTGTTAATATTATCTAAGCCATGAAGTTATTTAAATACATAGATTTTTTTTCACTTGTGTTTACTTCATATGCATGTAACATTAAGGATAAACAGCCCAAATGGTAGAGGTGGAACTAATGATAATGGGCTGCTGGAGGGTTGTTTGATATGACTGTTCTGTTCTGTCCAGGTTGCGAAGCTCTTTTTCTAGAAGATGGAAGGGAGATCATTGGCCTTATTCAATAGGCCACATCTGGGTATTACCAGATTATCCTGCTGAAAACAAATAGGCCATTTAAAGAAGTTTATCAGATGTTGTTGGATGACTGTGTCCACATCTCATTAGAAGTTAAACTAACAGATTAAATTTTAAGTGTGTTAATGAGGTATGGATATCATAGCATAAAAACTCTAATCCCTTGCCTTATCTTGCAGTTTAGAAGACCTTCATTAATTGGATACATTGATACTTAAAAAGGACTGATATCATTATTTGTCCTAAAAGATCTGTGGTATTTCTTTTTTCCTAAATAAATAGGAATTCTGATCCTTCTGCTCTGTAGGATAAACAGGGAACTCGCAGGTCATGATTGTTTGAGCTGAGAAAAAACTCTTGTAGAAGAGGTGTTTGGTTTTAATCACTTTGAAAATGTTTCTTTCTGTATGTAAAATATTCTCATGCATATATATTTATTAAGGCAGGAAATAGTACTGCCATAACTTGAATAACTTTTTTTCTAGATTTCATAATCTTATAATTTATTTGGATATGTTTGCCATCAAAACCAGTCTTACTACTTAAGGTCTACCTCTTAAATTATATCCAGAATGAATAATATCTAAATGTCAAAGACCAAAGTTTTATCCTAGCAGAAATTTTTGAGAAAGTTGGATTTTCGAGCTTTAAAGACTTGCTAATTCTTTTGGTACTTTGTGCTCTGATTTCTTGTGACATTTTCTGTGATTTTAATAGCAAGGCTTGAATTTCATGTCAAATTGAAGAGAGGGATTATTTCTGGGAGATAGAGTACATAAGAATGTTCACTAAAATCCTGGCTTATTTAATAGTTGAGTGATTTTTGGTGTCCTTTATCTTATTTAGGTAAATGAACTGGAGGAGCATTCTGTTTCTGCTTGCTTCATAGGGGGTTAGCCTACACACTGGCTAGCTCTTGGTAATTTCGTTTTAGTTTTGGATCTTTATCTTTTATTATTATTATTTTCATTTACTCATTTCAGAAAAGATAGTTCTTTATTTTGTTTTAGCTTCTTGTGTTTTCTTTTTCCTATTGGTACCTAAAATGTGAACCTTCCTAACATGCCTAAATGTGCTACCACACTAAGGTTAGTTGTTTTCAAATGTGTTGGTATTGCCTCTGAAAAATCCTGATAAAGAGAGAAATTAAGAAAGACTAGTAAGGTTTTAGAAAAGCTATTTTACCTGCTGTATTGTATTGCTTCAGATGACGCAAGTGATAAATGCAATCCCAGGCAACCTACAGGTTAACAATGACCTTTGATTGACCATGGAAGAATATAAAGTCTTAATAACAAGACTCCATACAGAGATAACTTGTAGTCCACTGCAGTTAGGAGTAACTGGGTCATTTTATTCTGATGGCTATTTGGAGGCTTGTATAAAATGAGGTGACTCTTTTAGTTTCTTCTTGGGTTGACCGATACTTGTATGTCTATAGATAATTTTGTTGGCAAAGACACAATGCAGCCAGGACTGATGTAAATTGTCATTGTGACCATAAGTAAGGGCATGCTTCATTCATTGGCAAAACCAAATTCTTCATTAAAATGTTTTGGTTTTATTTTGCTTTAAATTGGGAATACAAGAGAAGAACTGATAGAGGTGTGAGTTCCAGAAAAATATTTCAAAATGTATATATAGACGTCTGACTTAATCAAAAATAAAAGGCAGAAAGGGCCTTTCAGAATGGAATTCCAAATTATTGGCCAGATTATGTATTTAATTTGCTGAGTTTGGGGAAAATCTCTAATGCATTTTAATCTTTAAGAGATATTTAAAATGTCATTGCAGGTTAAATATAGAACTAGACCTAATAAAAGGCCTCTTCTTTGTTCTTTGTACACTATATTGCAGACATACTTTGAATGTTCTTTTGTTCTTCTCTAAGCCAGTGTTTGCCAAGAACTGGACAAGTTCTGTTCTCAGCTGATGATTGCCACACTGTCGGGTACCCGGTCTCAGGAGGATTCCTTAGCTTACATTTTTTCTTGTGTGAAGCTGTACTAAGACTGTCTTTCTCTGCACAAAAGAATGAAAAATGTTAATTATTTCAATTTAGCAATGTTTTCCTTTCTGCAAGCTTGGGAAGTGATAGAAGTGATAAACAATGTAGTGTGGTGGTTTTTGTTTGTTTTGAAGCACTTGTTAAGGGAATAAAGACAAGAGCCTTAATTCTGAAATTATATACTGTGGAGTGCTGCTTTCCTTTCTTGATGATGTTTCTTAAGTACTCTAACAGCTCTAACAGTGAAAATCTGAGAGCACAAAACCAGTCATCTCATCTGAAATGATGTAGAATTTTATAGATAAAATTCTAGCCATTTTGAACAACCTACGCTTTTGTTAAAAATATTATTTCCCACTAAAAGAGTTTTCCTACTGTGTACTTATATACTTACACTTATATTACTTTTTTTAAGTTTCTCATATTTGTATCTAGATACTAAATGTATTAACTTAAAATACTATTTAATGAGACAAATTTTCACTCTGAATTTTGCGTGCCTGGTAAGGTGAGGATTGACACGGTGGTAAATTTGGGTTTTGAGGAGGTGGCTTAATACTAGACCAAAAACTTTTCACACATGTAAATGGTGAACAAACTACTCTAGGTCCAATTTGTTTTTAAAGCCTGAGAGAATAACTTTGGCCAAAGAAAGTTCAGATTGTACTGGGGGCATTTTCTACTTACATCATTTGGTATTCAGGCAGACCTTATGTTGAAAGGTGCCACTCTTGCTACAGCATAAACATGGGCATGCAGTCTGGTGAGATGAAAGGATGTACAACCCTATCTATCTTCATGCTTGATCTGAGTCACACTGGTACTGTGATGTATGATGTGGCATGAAGGAGTTTGGCATCATGGTAAGAGAAGCCCATGTAAATAAACACACAACACCAACTTGGAAAGCTTTTGTTGGAACCCTTAATATAAAACAGCAAAGCTACCTTGTTGAGTAGAGGTAAAAATAGCAATATAGCTAACAGCACCACAGTATGAGCTGCCATTGAAGAGAGGTGAAAGCTGTGTTTGTCCTGGCTATTTTCTGGATTCTACTTCAGCCTTTACAAATAGATCACAGCTGGAGTATCTGCAGAACTTGACATCATTGGGTCACGCTCAACACCGGCTTTTACTATAGATCGTTTTTTTCCTTTTGTTGTCTCAAAAGGAATTGGAGTACAGGTCAAAAAGAGCATCTGGCTGAAAATACCCAAGTCAAGATACCAGGACAATTAAAACAGGAAGAAAAGGTGGAGGAAAATAGCAGGACTCAAGCAATCACAAAAGCATGGTAACCTTCGTAGTTCAACCTGACCTCTTTGCCTTTCAACTCCTCACGCTGTACTTATTTTGGGAGCATAGTAACAGGGGAAAAAAAAAAAAAAAAACAAACAACTAAGAATATTAAAATAGCCCAGCAAAATGGGGTATTGGTATTGCAATCTGAATGCTGTACAAACATTGTTTTTAAAATGTTAATTTTCCATTTTTAACCTTTTTTTCCCTAATTGAGCACAGATATACCCATGAAAAATGACACTTGGCACGCAGTGATTTGAAAATCGCTGTCTGCCGCTTGATGTCTTCATCTGACAACATCTATATGTTGCCAGGTTGCCATGACAACTAAGTACAGTTGTAATTGCAACCCTGGAAAGGTAATTCTTTCACTCAAAATGTGGCATACATTTAGTCTGTCTGAAGTTTAAACAAACCATCTTTTAATGACAAGTATTTTGAAAAGCCTGAATGAGGCAGCTTCTTTGATGTCATTTTTTTTTTATTATCTCATGTAGTCTAACTAGATAGATATGTTGGCTTTTATTCAGCAGAGTCTGTATTTTTAACCTTTTTATGCTTTATTTAAGTTTCAAATATATGGTATCAACTGTGAATCTGAAATTAACATATGAAAGCAAAATAACACAGAAAGTGTTCATTTACTTGTACTGGCAGTTCTGAAAGCAGAAGATCTTGATACATTCCTTAGACTTACAATCCTTTGCATGAAATCAAATGAGTTTTGTTGTATGGCTGGATTAATGTTAAAAAAAATAATAATAAGTAAGAAGAAAAAAAAATGTTCTAGTTTTTTACTCAGCAGGCCACATAGATTTTATAGTGCCACAAAGACAGTCTTTAGAATCAGAAAAACTGCAGTAATTCCATGAAATTTCCACCTGATTTTTGTGTATAGCTGAGCCTTATTACAGACATCTCTAATCCTCAGTACTGGCAACATGTAGCTGCATTTTGCCTGTTGATCTGTCTTCTCCATCATTGATGTTGTACAGTCCCTCACCTTCCATTTCCATTACACAGAGTGAGTAATATGTTAGTCAACTACATCTCTTTGTAGTAGTGGGAAAAAAAAAAAAAAATCTTAGGTCTTTGGGCTGTCATTTAGGGCTAGAATATGGGCTTTATACTCTCTGGGGGGTGCAAACTAGCTCTGAAAAGTAAGAATGAATGCAGTTCTGAGCTTTCAGTATTAATTTCCTCAATCGGCAGTACTGCTCAATGAGGACATGGTAGCAGCGTTTCTGTGGATTGCTGCATTTTTGCTCACTAAATGATAGAGCCCTCACTCAGGGTTTCTGGATAAACCAGGCAGCTTTAGTCTTTGGATGTGTTAGGCTTTCAGTGAATGTTGAACATAAATAGTGTGATTTTAAACTTCATATGGAATAAATGCTTTCATTTAGGTACTCACTTGGCTCAGCAATCCACAACAATAAAATCACCCTTCCTAAGACATGCACAGAGAGATTCACATTTTTGTTCTGGAAAACAAGAGCATGGTGGGGCTTTTGATAAGTTTTGAAACTCAGGTCAATTTTTAGGTTGACCACCGTTTTCTGCCTGCACCTCCACTGTCAGTTGAAAACTGCTTTGAATGCAGCAAGGCCATTCACACTCACAATATACTTTATTTTCATAATAGAAGGTCTTCTTGCAAGTCTAGACAACTCGTCATTTCAGAGCAAGTCCTCTTGAAACAATTGTGGCATTATGCCATCTGATTTTTTTGATCTATTCCTTTGTGCTTGAAATTTATTCAAAATGTTTTTCTTTGGCTTTTTTTTAATTGCCTCCTAATGAACCAGAAGACAAAACCACGGTGTCACTCGGCAAAACAGAACTTGTATATTTTGAAGCAAGTCACAGATGTGTCCCTAGAGATGTCCTAAAGCTCATTATGACCAAAGTATTGGAATAGGCTTTCAGTATCCTAACACGCAATGCGGTAGTATAAATTGCAGAGAAAGAATCATGATTGTTTAATTTGAAATAATCCTTTATCTCCGAGGTCCGTGCTTTGCATAGATGTGCTGTATTGTTTGAGCATTTTGTGTGATCCGGTGATCAGTGCTCTAATTGTTTTGCAGAAAGCTAGTTTAAAAAGCCAGGCACACCTCTCTATGCAAAGTAGAAAACAGCTATTCTGTGATTAAAAGACACTGAGCAGCAAGCACATAGCCATACCAGATGGGAAGGCAAGTAGAATAGGAGAGGACAACAGCAATCCTCAGCACCTTCCTGCATATCTTACTCTGAATATTAATACGGAAGGACATTCTAGCATCTCTTGAATAAGCTTACCCGGGTGTACTGGCATCATTCAGCCCAGAATTTGCCACTTAGTATGTATGAAATATGTATTATTTCAGAAGTTAATTGTCTGAAATATGCATGTAGATAGCAAATCCTCACTGTTTTCTATAAACTTCTAATAGTTACTTCAGCACACAGGAAGATGGATTAGGATCTGGCATCCTGCTTTTCTGATTTATGCTGTGTTTGTAACTTTTTCTTATAGTTTGAGCTCTGAGTTGGCTGCATATTCCTGCAGAAAAACAGGTTGTATGTGTTTTGAAAGCTAGTTAGGACTATGAGTTTGAGTTCTTACTCCAGTTGCTGTTTTTTTTTCCTGGCAGAAGCCCTGTGTTGTATCACCAAAATTTTGGAGTTACCACCATCCTGTAGTGACTCAACACCACTGGAGTTTGCTGGGTTGAGTTTTCACCTAGTTGCTATTGTGCTCTGCATCTTGCCTTTCAAGGTGAAGTGACAGGATTCAGTCTTCACTTACTTTTTTTTTTTTTTTTTTTTTCCATATTTGATGAGTAAAAGCTCTTGCTTTCCTTCCTCCTATGCTTCCACACTGACCTGGAAATCATTTACATGCTCTAATGCTCTGCACCCTGACTGTTCCATATTTAGCAGGATAGGTTATAACTTACAGATATGCTCATGTTGCACAGGATTAGCTTTTTCTTAACTTTCACAAGAAATGCAAAAATAAGAATCCCTGTAGTGTGCTTTTTTCTCAGTTCCACCAAGATCCTTCAGAAAGCGGGCCCTTCTCCTGTTTTAAACTCACTTGGATTCACCCTTTGTCTGCCTCTGTACTTAGACAGGACTTTACCTGCATAGAGTAGGCTTTTCTTTATTATTTTATTGTGCCAATGCTATGCTGGGGGCTCACTTCCTTTGTATATGAGTGACTTTTTCTCTGGTCACCTCCACACCACTTTGCATAGAGCCCTTACCAACCTGGTTTCCCTCCCAGGCAGCTTCCTTACCCTGCCAGTGGCTGGTCATGGCAGCAACGTCAGGGTTAACCATTTCACCTTCTTCCCTTCCCACAGAGGCACATTACGCTCCTCCTTCCCATAAACACATAGTTCCCCTTAAAGCAATTACATGTCAACATTATAATGGTGCCAAGAATTCATAAATTATATATAGACTGCCTGTATCATCATATTTCTCCTTTGTCAAGAAAACCTCATTAGGATAGAGGTGAGCTACTCCCCTGGGTGCCTTTCTCATGTTCTGGCATCTTGGTCTCAACACACCTGCTTATAATCCTTATTAACTGAGACTGGCAGCATTCATTCTGGGTATGGCCCCCTATCATGAAATTGTTTTAGGTCAGTTTTCATCTACCCAGTGTAACTGGCCTTTCTCATTATGTGTGGGAAAGCAGTACAGAAAAACAGCATTCATAGCTCCTACTTCTCCATAAGTTCATTCATCCATGAAATCTGTTCTTCACACATGAATATTAAAGAAAAGGATTTACATGAGGTAGATGTGCATTAACCTGTAATGCTTTTGTGAACCTCTACATTTATGTGATCATTGAGATGTTTGAGTGATTGTGATATATTTTAGGAAAGAAAAACAATTTATGCATAGTTCTGCCATTGTCATGGAGCCTTCTTGCGGCAGTTTGGAATCCGGAGCATATTTGTCTGCTACTCAGGTGAATTCCAGTTAAGAGGGTAAAGACTACATCTTTACTATTGCCCAGTCAATGTACATGAAGAAGTTAGTTGCTTCTTACATAGAAATGTGATATAGATCGTCTTGCTTATTCTGTAACAGTTCTGATATGGAATATGCAAATTCTGATTAATACAGTCCTCACAGCCTTTGGTTACAAATGTGGAAGCATGGGCTAATCTGTAAAAATCAATTTCGTTGTGTGTAATCCATACACATGAATCTAAGAACCCATTTTGGCAATGAAAAATGTGTTTGAAGGGAAAACGGTATTTAAATCAGAGGGTCACATAACATTTTCTTGAAATAATAATTCAATCAAGAAATTGATGGTAATCAGTGTTTAAATCTCTCATCTTGTCAGCTCTATGTTTGGTGCCTTGTTTGAAGTGAAATGTTTTTTGACACAGACTTCCTAATGCAAAA